TCAAGGAACACAGCTATTGTCAGCCTGTGGTATACGTGGTGCTGTTCCAGCACCTGTCGCAGAGTGAATATATGATCTATACAGCCGCGTCTTAGGCGGAAACCTACCTGTTCTTCCCTAATCTGGGATTCCCGTTCCGCAGTGAGACGACGAACGAGAACTAAGGCCAGTAATTTTGTCACAACTGGCGTTAGGCTAATACACCTGTACTTAGAAGTCTGTGCAATTGCCCTTCTTGTATGTTGCCACTATAATTGACTCACCCGAGTTAAACGGGACGGTTTCCACTTTCCATATATGTTCAAACAAAGAGGTCAGCGTTTGCAGAGGACCACACCACCATCGTTAAACAGTGCAGGTGCGAGGCAATCCGGGCCAGCAACACAAAAACGATTGAGGGCTGTGATGGCGTTTCGGACCTCATCCACCGATGGAGCCTCTAAACTAACCGTCCATGACTCATTCTGCATCATCTGAGTAGGAAGAGGTCCGGAAGTAGGGGTCGAAATAAACTGCTCCCAAAAGTGTTCCGCCCAACGAGCCATACGGTGTTCCTTAATGTGTATCAGTGCACGCGCGCCGTCTCTGATTGTCCCACTGAAGACTGGTTTCCAGGGACCAGTGGTGTAGATCAGTTGAAAGAGCTGGCGATAATTGTCTACTGCTGTCGCCTCCCCCATTTCTAAAGCTTGATTGGTCTACCAGGCCTCCGTGTCAGCACGCAGGCTCCGCTTTAGTTCGCGCCTACTAGTCCGTCTCGTCACATTGTGCTCAGAGCCAGTCGGGAGGTTTCTTCTGGATTCCAACAGATTCACCGACCTCTCGGATATCCAATTACTGGTGAGATGATGATTGATGGTGCCACAAGCAGATGACCCTGCGTCGTGCATGGCAACCGATATCCTATACCACTGAAGCTGTCATTAGAGCGAGAGAGCGAAAGTTGGGTACGCAGTGCATCCTGGTAGGCTTGGCTGACCGAGGGCTGAGGTAAGTTCGCAGTTGCCAATCGGAGACGCTTGGTCTGCCTACTGGTAAAGTTCATGGAAAAAGGACAGCGTAACAAGGCATGATCAGAGTCGAGGCAAGTAATCTAGGAAGGAACCACGCCACTTGTAATTTATGGCAATGCAATCTATTTGGGTCCATCACTACCCAGCTACAGGAGGAGGCCAAGTGGTACATCGGCACCCACTGTGTCGAAAAGCGGTGCTATTAAGAAATAACCGGTGCTCCACATACAGTTGTAATAGACGCTCGCCGTTGTCCGTCCGTTTAGAGTTAAACCCTTACTACCTAGTTGGGTTTCTGAAGAGCCCAGACGACCTACTTGCACATTCATATCCCCTGAAACAACAACGATATCTGAATTGGTAGCATTGCGAAGCAGTCTGTTCAGTTCGTTGTAGAATGTGTCCTTGGCAGCATCAGAACCGCAGTCGGGGGACCAAAAGCGGAAGCCACAAGCAAACAGCGTCTAGTAATACTTCGTGAATCAACCTTAGCTGATGTCGTCAAACGGGCTGCAGCCAAACGGCTGTTCACGGGAATCCAATCCAACTAACGATGACTAAGCCTTGGAGCTGAGGACGATGCCCACATCAGCGTCTCCGGATGCGTGAAACTAATAGCGAGAAGACAAGCCGAGTAGTTAATTCAATAACCCCATGAAAGTCATTGATTATAGTTTCGGAAACGCAACACACATTAATACCCACTGAGTCCAACGTCCGTGTGAGTGCAGCCTGTCCAGTTATTTGTCTTAGAGTGCGAAGGTTGAACGCTACCAGGGAAACGGGACAGCGTGGTCTTATAAAGGAATGTTGCCGATAGGCGTCCAGTGGGTGGTGCGGGAAGGTAACTGCAGATGGTTCGACTCCAGTGGCATTACGACTGCTGTCAATTAAGCTGGGAACCATAGAAGGTAGGTTAGTTATGGGGGTTATGAGGGGAGTAAGAGAAACAGATGGAAAATAAAGAAGGGGGGAGCCAGCAGTAACATGTTTTTGTTTATCCGCTCTGCTGTATGCAGCTGATAAGGCGGTCCCTGATAATCTGCGCGACAACCGATGCAAGATGTGGTTGAAGTCCGAAGAAATAGTCATGGTTGTACAGTTGAGTTTTTGTGGAGTTCCCCGACCTGGGTACCTTGGTTGCAAACGTTTGGCCACCATTCGTCGTGGCAGCGTCGGTGCCAGATCGATGGCAGTCAGGTAGCAGAAGCCGGAAGAAGGTAAACCCAATGTTGGGTACTGTCCGCCACTACTAAGTTCCTTATATAAGCGAATAGGACCAGTAAGTTCGCCTCGCTTTGAGTGGTGGTGGCGCTGAGGTCATTACCTTGGCTGCATAAATGTTGTTGAAACGCTTGGAAATGACGCACTCAGATTGGTGCAACGAGCTTGGATGAGCAGTCTGGGCTCACAACGATCGTTTTGTTCATTGTCTAGGTGATGGATAGGGTTCTTTTGAACAGTGACCGTTAATTTTCTTGAGCTCCCTTTGTCTCGGTGGTTGGTATGTCGGATCGATATATGCAAGTTGATTGAGTTCGTGGTTGAGAACCAGACTTAGAGAAACTTCCTCACTTTTGTGTTTCTCACTGGGTCAGGAAATCAACTCTGTTCCAATCGAAGCTGTGTTCTTCTTCATCCCCGTGTGCTAAAACCAATAAGTTGAGTATTGTTTCTCGCATGCCCTTTTGTGTTCTCGTATCTCAGGTGGTGGGTATTCAATTTTGATTTAATGTTTTTATTTCTCATAAAAATGTCTACCTGTACGCTCTTCTATAAAACTGCACATCTCAGTTAAGCCAATTGTAGTTAATTTCGATAACATTTTCGCGTTTGTGTCATTCCCATAAAATATACCTCCTGACCTTCTGAACTTATCTCGGATTCGTTTGTAAACAACTGATTTCATACGCACATTAATTTAAGATTTATGTCACCGCTTCCTTATGCATTACTAGATTTATTTTCTTTGTTATCTTTCTCTCAAGTGATTGCCTGTTGCTTGATATCCCCGATGTGGCTGCGCTTGAGGTGCATGTTGACAAGGTGTCTACCTGTCTATTACCCACTACATCGTTCATACTGGCACCAGGAGACATTTGGTCGTTGCTCGGGGGGACAGGGTGCACAGTTCTTGTGGTCGTGCTAGGTTCGAAGAGTGGTTCCATGCACTTAGTGTGGAACGGACTACGGCCCAGCCACTGCCTTGTGTGCGCTTGATTCCCAAATACAGCGTGCTTGTGTTTGCCTGTGGAGTGTGGGCCGGCTCCAGTGATGAAAAGTGGCTCCCATCCACATGCCTCCCGGTCTTATTTCTTCGGGTTTACACTGGATATGGGGTGTGTGGTTGAAGCTGTGGGTGGTGCAGCGCAAGTCACCCATGGTTCATCTGTAGGCGCAGGCGTCCTGTGGCTGGCCACAGTGACAGGCAAATCCGAAAACGGGTGCCGCCAACCATCTTTGTTGTCAGCTTCCTTCCTGTTTGTCCCACATAGTGTTCTTCACAATTTCTGTAATTTTTCTATATACGACATTCTGTCGTTCCTGCCGAGACCATGCCGAGGTACTCAGACCTAGACAGGAGGACGATTAGGGTCCTCATCCAAAGCCTTTGGCTCAAAAGCCTGTCCGCAAAGCAGCGGAGAGGTGGCAATGATTTGGTTTTACAGAAATGGACGCCATCCCATCACAAATCCCCAACCTGGAGGACCAGGAGACTGAGTTTGTATGACCTCTAACCATTGACCAACCTGGTAGGAGTAGCTCACAAGAAGCCCAGGGGCGCCATCCAGTATAGCTCAATGGGTTGAAGAGATACCCAAACCGTCGCACCAGGGTAAGGTTCAGTCTCGTTGTGACGGAGTTAATGGAGTGTGAAGTATGTTGACAGAGATTCGTTAGGGTATTACTAGTAGGTATATGTGTAGCAGTAATATAATCCTGCATTTTGTGGTTCGGCTTTTCAACGTTCGTTGACAGCATCCCACTGTATCACTGCAGTGCAAACGAAGGGAACTGAATGAACGTTGTTCCAGTGTCGGCAACGTGCTTTGCCAGTGAAAATCAGGGGCACAATGTTGTAACACATTGGAAGTAGGCGAAAATTAGGTCGAGGATCGAGCCATTGCACAAACGAATGAGGTTACGCTATACAAAGGCAACATGAAAGAATGGAGCACGCGAATGTGACTGCGAAAATGACTGCACTTGAAGTTGCGCGTATGGCGGAACGAGGTCTGTCCTAATGATACGCCAACAAATGTTCGAAGAAGGCACAAACGATGACCACTGCTGTGCGTTTGACTAGGTCGAGCCGATAGAACAGTTAAACAGAGGTTCGCAGTTCAGTTGCTACTTGGAAAATAAGCCAAATTCGGTAATAGCCCTATTGAGTGAGTACTGGCATGAACTAGCACAAGTTCGTGCCTACAACTGCATCTACTAGACGGAAAACTATGCGTATACTCGACAAGCCAGCTCATTGCTGATGCTGGATTTACTTGTGATCATGCCTGGAGGGGCGTGCCGTGAACCTTCTGAAAATAAACTTATTTATTTATTTAATAAATCAGATGAAGCATTGCGCAAAGATAAGGGAGTGCAGAGATGCCTGTCGTATTTGTCCAAAGCCATGGCTTCTAGTTCCGGATTTGATGAATATACTGAACAAGGGAATTATAAACATGCGCGACAGGGTGAACCATATGTGAGTCACGGGAAATTGTGTAGATTATGACTAAATTCGAGTAAAGAATCGGGAAATCAATTTTGCGACAAACCGAAGGGAAAGCGTACAAAAGCAAAAGTAAGCAAAAAGGGAACGTGGAAGAATGTTGAATGCGGTGAGTTTTCGAACGCAAGTTGGACAGCAGATGCACGAAGTCAAATTTTGAACAAAGATGCATCGAATGACGGAACATGCGTATACAGCAGAACTAAATGGAGTGAGAATGAGATATATTTGCAACAACTTCGTGAAACTACGCCCTATCCCCGACTTACTTGCAGCACGTTTAGTTCCGACTCCGTAAACGACGGAGGCGTCGTCGCAACGGGGCTAAAACCATTAGTTGGGGATCCGTGTGTATGTGAACGATCGTCTGTAGACGTAACCGGAGATGATGCCAAATCAGTTGTTGAGTGCTCTCCATCCACATTTTCCTTGCTTGGGGACTCGGTTACGGGTTCATCCTCCAGGGATGCAATACTATCCATCCGCTGATGAGAGAAGCTGGACGGCTACAATAAGAAAAATAAGTACATGGTAGTCGATAAAATAGGCGCTTTGCAAATAGTGCGGCAATTTTAACGGTTACCAACTTGGCGAAAAACGACTAGGTACTGATCAAGCTTTTCCTGCTCTAAATGTTGCCAAGCACAGTATACGAAAGATACGCCGCTGTACGAACACTGGTAAACAGTGACAAAGTAAATGCTCCAATAGGAATAAATTGCTTCGGCCCATAGCCATAAGAATCGTAAGCCTGCCTTGCAATCCGACGGCGTGGGTTCGAGCATGCGTAGCGACCGGGCGACCTTCGTAGAATCCTTAGCTCACATGCGACTGATGGTGGTTGCGCGACAGCCAGGCGTCGGTCAGTGTACCGGCGTGCTGCTGATGACTTTTTCGATTAAAACGGAGCAAATAGATAAATGGTATATTCCTCGGCGATGCGACGCGCAGGCCAGCTATGTGGTCTGAATGAAAGTAACAAATGAATCTTCACACTAGAAACCAGTATCAGTTAGCTCTGGTTGATCAAATGTGATCCATGTACAAAAATGAAGTGCATTTAGTTGCCATGACCTGCGCCGCTAGGCCAATAATTATAAGCAAGAATAAAAGGAGAGGAAGAATATAAATACAGAAAAATACCGTAGGGAAAAAATAGATTAAGTTCCAAAGCGTCATTGGCTTAGCAAGGAGTGTTTGCATATGTTGTGCCCGTCACCGCAGTATGACGATATGTACTAGCCAGATGAAATCTCTCTGTCAAATGCCTTATGCCCCTTCGACACGTCATCGGATGTTCACTCCCATGTTGTAAACAAACAGTCACAGTGTAGGCAAACAGTGTCTGCCGATGCAGAATAGGCATGCGAGGAACTCAAGGAAGAAGTAAACTTGGGCATGACCCGATAGGTGCGTCCAACTTACCTCAGTGATGATTTGTAGGTACCACACATCAAACACAAGCGTTTCATAATATCGTCAGTGTACACTGCATATACCCCAATGTTTTCAGTAGTGCGGGCCACATTGCAGCGTACCACTAAATGGTTGGCGGGCATCCGGTTTCGGATTTGCCTGTCACTGTGGCCAGTCACAGTATGCCTGCGCCTACAGAGGGACCATGCGTGGCTTGCGCTGCACCACCCACAGCTCCAACCACACACCCCATATTCAGTGTAAACCCGAAGGAATAAGACCGGGAGGCATGTGGATTGGAGCCACGTCTCATCAATGGAGCTGGCCCACACTTCTTCACAGGCAAACACAAGCACACTGTATTTGAGGAATCAAGAGCACACAAGGCGGCGGCTGGACCGTAGTCCGCTACACACTGACTACATGGAACCACTCTTCGAGTCTAACACGGCCACAAGGACCGTGCACCCCGTCCCGTCCAGCAACGACCAACTGTCTCCTGGAGCCAGTATGAACGATGTAGTGGGTAATAGACAGGTAGGCACCTTGTCAACATACACATCAAGCGCAGCCAAACCGGGGATATCAAGCAACAGCCACACTTGAAACGATAAGACGAAATAAAATAAATCTAGTAATGCATACAGATACGGTGACATAACTCTTCGCTAAATTAATATATGGAGTAAGTTAGTTAGCAACGAATTCGCGATAAGTAAAAAATGTCCACAAGTTATTCAAAAATGCCACAAATGCAATTAAGTTATCGAAGATAAGCGCAATTGGCGTAAGCAAGGTGGCCAGTTAAGAGAAGGTTATTCAGGTAGGCAGAAAAAGCCAAATCAAGTGGAATGACATTTATCCAGCTTAATAAGACCTAGTTTGAGTGTAAGTTCGCCTAGCCCAACTGCGGTGAAGAGGCATGATGAATGTAACATCAGCCTAAGCAGAGGGCGCATATATATATATATATATATATATATATATATATATATTGTACAAAGCATGCAAAAAGATCTGATAGGGAATGAAAAACGGAAGAACAAATGTTCTGCCAATTTACAAACGCCGTTTTGCACTTCTTGCGGTTTTTAAGAGTTTGTTTTTGTAAAAGTGGGTGCAGGTAGACTTGTGTACATTGCTTCCACTGTGACTGGTTTTGCACCAGTTGTTGTAAGCCATTGGAATTCATCAGCTTTGGATCCCCCAGCCGGGGAGCCTAATGTGACCAACCATGACCAGGCAAGATGTCATGGATTTCATGCATGGTCGCCAGGTGGACGGTTGACCTTCACGCGGCCTTTTCCAAAGGAACCCTGCGTACGTAAACAAGGCATGGCGTGGTAAACGCTCGTTAGTCATGTGCAGGACTTGGCCAAACCATCCTATTTGAAGCAGCTGGATGACACCACAAAACGGAACATCCGCCTAACCCAAGAAGCGGTGTCTAACGTCATCATTCAGTACTGGGTGTTGCCAACACACGTGGGCACTCCTCCGCAAACAGCACCTGTCAAAGGCTGAAAGACTATGCACTTCTTCCACATGGATAGACCAGGATTCACATTCGTACAGCAATACCGTGCGTGCACAGGCTTTGTAAACCCTGTCTTATAGTGAGATTGAAATGTCGTGACGGCGCCACAAATATCCTAAGTTGGTAAACGCCAACCGCGCTTTAGCGATACGAAGGGGTATTTCGGCCCCGACAATGCCGCAGACAAAACGCAGCGTCTTAAACTCTGATCATAAGTATTATACCGAGAATGCACCTTAGCGTGGTGCGATGGTTTGCGTACGCCGTGACCCATTGATCTATGCTGGGTGTCACTCTCTAAGTACCTTCAAAGCCATCAAACCGGACAGATCAATGGTTATGGGGTCAGAATAACTCAGTCTCAGAATCCGATCGCCTTCGGAGGTCAAAGAGAGTTCGATGGTCCTCTTCCTTTAAAACCTAGCCATGGGTTTTTGGGTTATAAGCTCACAGCTCAATTGGCGTGGAGCACGAGCGCCACGCATTGTCTCTGACGGCGGTAGGGCACCTTCGGTACTCACTGGTTTGCTACCGCTCGCCTCAAGAGAGGCAGTCCCTGATCAAATTGGTGCAAACCCGCCAACTTCCACCTGCGGATGGCCGTGATCGCAGGTGTGTAACGTAACAAGGTAGTAAAACATGTATGCATTGTTCCCAAACTTCAAAGGTTGTGTGTGACAGGTCTCAAGCAGATCCCATTGCGTCTCTGCCATCACGCTCCCGAGTTGGACCTGCTCCCCACTGCTTTGTGAGTCAATCTATTGAGCCAAAGCCTCTGGTTAGAGTCCTTCAAGCGAACCTCTATATCTCCCACTGCTTTATGGGTCAGGCTATTCGGCCAAATGCTAAGGAGTCCCTAAACGAACCTCCGTGTACCCCACCGCCTTGTGGCTCAGACTGTTGAGTCGGAATTGACAGCCGGAGAGTAGCATCTGCCATCAAGACCACGTTGATAATACTCCCTCTTTTTCTTCTAGTTTTTTTTCTGCCTACCCCCTCTACTCTTCTCTGTCTATCGAGCAAGAGACTGAAACTGACCTCGCAGCTGCTCCCATCGAAACACACAGCTCTTCCATCAAACCTAGGGTTTCATTTCGCATTGGCTCCTTTAACGTCCGTACTCTAGACCAGATAAGTCGGAATGCAGCACTGATTTACTCTTCATTCTCTTGGTATTGATGGGTGCTGTGTCTCTGAAACACGCATACAACAGCACTGTGACGAATCTTCGACTTCCTGGTTCTAAATCTGACGCCCATGAATACACTCTTCGCGTCTCTGGGGATACCGAGTCAATGACTCAAGACACTTACAGTGTTGGTATTGCACTCAGAAAACATGCTGAAAGCAATCTGCTCGACTGGATAACGTTGAGCAGCCGCATGTGGGCGGCTCGACTTTGAATCTCCATTGCGGTTAATATGCACCGTCTGAAACCAAGGTAGCTTTTCATCGCCTCCGTTTATGCCCCTACTGAATGCAGTTCAGAGGGTATCAAAGACGATTTCTAGCAACAGCTGTCATCTCTTCTTCGTATGGCGAAGAATACCGACAACGTGATTGTTGTCGGTGACATGAATGCCCAAGGTCATCTTTCAGACTCTGAACAGCACCTGGGAAGGCGCTTCGGAGACGATACACGCCGAACAGACAATGATGATCGATTCCTGCACCTGCGCTCTGACCACAAAATCTATCTTAGCGGCACTGTATTCCAGCACAAACGTTCACATTGCGTCACCTGGCGCACACCAAATCCCTCAATGACCTGGAACCAAAGTGATCATATTGCCATCAGCAACGCATGGCGCGCATCAGTTCAAGACTGCCGGTCAAGTTGGAGCACGTGCCTGGATTCCGACCATGCTCTAAGGCACGCACGCCTGGCGCTCACACTTCCCACTTCAAAAAAGCGTCTAGATGCTAACCTTCTTACCTGTGATTTGAAATCGCAATAGGCGGTCCAAGAATATCATGACGAACTGACCCACCAATTGTCAGTGATGAATGAGGTTAGTGAACAGAACGCTGACTGGAATCGTCTCAAGTGTGCCATGAAGAATGCCTTTGGCGCATGCTGCGTACCCAACTTGAGGCGTAAAAAGTACGAATGGATCTCTGAGACATCCACAAGCTTGATCGAAGAACGGAAACAAGCTCCAATGGGCACTGTTTCAGCTTATCTGCAACTCATGGTGAATAATTCCCGTAACTTTCTGAAACGACGCACCGCAAGTAGTCATCGAATCGACCGGGAACGATGGTGGATTACAAGACCCCGTGAGATGGAGAAAGCTAGTGCAACTGAAAACAGCCGAGTTCTGTTCCAACTCACCCGGAACACCAATCCGAGAAAGACATCCGTTAGCGAGACAACAGCTGAGAAAAAGGGGCAGCTGATCCATTCTCAGCGTCGTCGACTAGACCGTTGGGCGGAACATTTGGAAGAGCAGTTCAGCAGGCCTGCTGTGACACTGCCGCTTGCGGAATCGCCTGAGCCGTCATGGGAAGCAGATGTGAATTTCCCACTTTGGAAGAGATTCGACATGAGCTTTCCGTGTCGAAAGGAAACAAGGCTCCTGGACCCTACGACCTTCCTTCATCTTTGCTGAAAGATGGTCTTGACCCTTGGTTGACTGAACTCGTTACGATTTGGGACAGCGAAGAGGTTCCATCAGACTGGCGATTGTCAGATGTCGTACCTATCTTCAAGGAGAGTCAGCGTACTTGGTGTGAAAACCACCGAGGCATCAGCCTTGTCTACATTGCGTCCTAACTCCCCACGAGTATCAGACTCCGACGACTTAGTGGTCCCCGTGAGAATCGAATCACTGAAAATCAAGCTGGCTTCCGCCCTGGTCGTGGATGCATCGACCACATATTTACTTTTCGCCAAGTTTCGGAAAAGAGACAAACATACAGACGACCGATCATGGTGGTTTTCCTTGACGTGAATGCCGCCTTGGACTATGTTGAAAGCGCCAGCTTGTGGCACTGCTTATCCATGAAAGGCGCGCCAAGTAAATTCCTTTCAATTCTTAAGTCCCTCTATCGTGACTCACGAGGACGTGTAAGGGTCTACGGGAAACTGTCTCTTGAGTTTTCCACGACAAGTGGGGTTCGCCAGGGTTGTCCTATATCTCCTTTCCTCTTCAATTTTGTTATCGAAATGATCATGAGTGACTCCGTTCTTTTAGACTCCACTGGAGTTGGAGTTCTACCAGGTGACCGAGAAAAACAAACCTGGAGAGTGCGGACGACATAACTCTTCTTGCGTCCGATGCAGTGGCTATGCAAATACTGCTCGATAGATTCAGGCGTAGCGCCGCACGCATCGGCATGTGCTTTGCAACTTCAAAGCACAAAGTAGTGCTTCAGGACTGAACCGACACCTCGGGTTCAAGCTATCATTGAACAACCACTGGAAGTGGTGGATCGGTTCATTTACCTTGGTAGCTGTGTTACCTTCGGTGGTCACCACTGAGGAAGTTAGTTCGCGTACCAGCAAAGTACGTGCGGCTTTCCAGAGACTCAAGCATTTGTGGAGACGGCGGGATATCAGCCTGTCAGTGAAAGATAGGGTGTATAACGCTGCGGTAAGGCCAGTCTTACTGTATGGATCAGAGATCTGGCCAGTTCGCAATGAAGACATTAAACGCTTGGCCGTGTTTGACCACCGGTGTTTGCGAAGTATTGCTCACGTTTGTTGGGAACACCGAATGAGAAGTGCTGAGGTCCACCAGTTAGTTATTAGAAAGAAGCCTTCTGGTGCCACACTGGAGTGTATGCTGAATCTTAATCGCTTACGTTGGCTAGGCCATGCCCTACATACGCCCGTTGACCGGCTCCCTCGTTGTGTATTATACGCCGTGGCTGCACTAAGTTGGGTGATACCAAGAGGTGGTCAGTCCATAACGTGGCATAGTGGAATGAAGAAATTGACTGAGAGACTCGGTCAGGCGGGTGCGTGTTGTCATTGTGGATGGGACCTCGGAATGGCCCACACCAATGGTTAGAGACCGCATCTGACATGGCGCAGTCAAGCAGTTAGTGGCGTTCCTGTATGCGGCTTTTTAGATCTAGTTGTTAACTTGCGTGCTACTCTGTGTTGGTTTAACGCACTTCCTTCCTGCCTCCATTTTCTCTATATTCTATGTCTATAACCCCACTATCTTTCCGTTGTTATGTATGTGACGTGAATCGTGACAACTGAATCCACCGCACTTTGGTGCTCGTGCCATGGTCGATCAACTGAACTGTACGGAACACCGGCATTCCTATCTGATGAGGCATCGGAAAGCTGTATGGGTCTTAATGACGAACGCAATGACCTCTCCGGTGATCTCATTATCAGATGTGGGACAGCTGCTTGATCATCATCATCATTATACACGTTAGCTAGCGGTGGGAAACGCCTCAGCTATTGTGCCGCAATAGATAAGAAAAGAAAAAACGGCAACCGAAAAAAGCTGAGCCACCAGCAACAGACGGGCATCATTACGGAAAGCTACCAGCCTGTTATTGTGCCACAAAAGAAGGTATTATGCGAAATTTATAATATGCTAAGAAATGAGATCGTGGTTGGAGGGAAAGGCTAAGCGGGAGGGAGAGGAATATAGAAACTCACAACACAAATGTCACCGAGGTCAACTCGTTGCCACAACAACAAGTGTATCCAGTCAAACGTGTTCACCATATCTCGGGCCCCAACCAGGGGGCCAAGAAGCTCCGACCGAGACTGACTTCGAAGTAAGGACCTTTACTCCTCTTGACTAAGTCATCGTTTGGTCACCCCTCCACTTCTTCCATCCACCCCCGGCGCGCAAACAAAGCACGTCGCGGGAGGCAGTGGGTTGGCAGGCGCAACAGATGGCCCAATCATCGAAGCCTGGTTCGTGAAATAGCGGTGCTGAACGATAAATTTCCTTTTCCTGTGCCATAAACAAGGCGTCGAACACACTCATTGTTCACCCGGTGTTCTCACCAGACATAAGCCAAACTGTGAAGGCACCGGTGGTCGAACGGAACTAGCCTCTTTATGTCTGCCGATCTAATGGGCACGGTTTTACAACCGTACAGCAGGATCGAACGTACGCTGCATTGCACACTCTATCCTTCGGGGAGAGGGTGATGTCGCGCCGACGCCAGAGGTGGCGATGGTTAGCAAAAGCGCCTCGAGCTTTTGCTATACGATTCGTGACCTCCTTTCAATTCCACAGACACTGAAAAATTGTCCAGGTAATGGAATTTCTAAACGACTTCTAAGGAAAACAGAAACAGAGAGGATGATCTGCAGGAAGCTTGCACACCGCATTGTCGCTGCGCTATCACCACCAGTCGCGCGCTAGCTAGCGACAATGCGAGGTTCACTGCATTTACGCAGAATCGAGCCGATGACCTGTTGATTACAAGGCAGACATAAGTGAACCACTCGGCCAATGACCGATTAGGAAATCTTGAAATTATGTAGATGGCAGCTTTCGGTAGCTGGTTGGGGTAGATCAAACACGATCATTCGGATCAGTTGATCAAATGTGAGTAGCGCTCTGACGTATAGGGGACCCGATCATCATAAATAATAATGATAATAATATTGGGACAATGGGGAAATATGGCAAACGAAAGAGCCTGCAACGCGAAACATTAACAGTCAAAAGAAACTTGGGTCAAGAGTATGGGGCCGAAGACAAGAGCACGACTGACTTCATGACTACGTAGTGTTTAACACCGAAGCAAGGCAAAACAATTGACCGTAGCGATCAGCGGCACAAAGCGATTGGTAAACCCTAAATTATAAAGCATCTGTGGAACGGGGATCAGTGACGACCCAAATGCGAAGAAAAGCTTGGTTTAAAGAGAATCCCGCAAATGAGAGTAGCCTTTGCATCAATGTACTAAACATCTTCGTGCCTGCCCCTAAACTCGCATGGCTCAATGGTCTATTGATAATGACGATAACCGTCAAGCAATATGAGCAGAAATCCACTCTTAATTCAAGTTTTATCTACATGATGAGTCCAAACAGAAATAAAACGCGTCGTGAAGTGCAGTGATGGGGGACAGCGACACCCAAACCCTCCACTTCGGATACGGTCCCACTGATCGGAATGGCAGAGGCTGAAATCAAAGTCAACCGAGGCCACAATTGAGATCGCGTGTCGCAATCCAAGACACAACAAACGCTCCAAAACCTGGCAATGTAACATCCTAGTTACATGAAAAGTTGACTCGCATGAAAATCTTTTCAACACTAAAGTTTCTAGGGATATGGGTAAGATTTTTCGGTCAAGTTCATGTGAGATCAAGTAGAAGGAAGGTAGTAGAAAGAAAACGTTTGCTAAAACGCGCAGCAGGTGCTAAGCATAACTCACTGCGTTTTCGATTGAGCTTAATTTATCAGGAGCCAGATCACGTAATGGAGGCTTGAGAACAGGGGAGAGAGTTAAACGGTTAGCAACAAAAGGCCATGATCCAGATTCACAGGCAGCTGTGAGAACTGATGTTTGGCTTATTGAGGAAACACCACCTGGTGGCGTGCACGAACCGTGGGAGCTGCTCTCCGTTCCATCATCATCCTCTTCATCTTCGTTCTCATCATCGTCGGTGACCACATCAACGTCTGAGGATTTTGAAGTGTGTGGTCGATGAAGATCATCGACGCATGGTGATGGCGGAGAAGCTTGCAGCCCGCCGCTAGTTGGAGAGCCGAATTCATCCAGACCCGCTAGACTAGGGAAACGAGGATCTTCGCGGTGAATCTTACTAAAAAATATGGAAAAGTAACGAATTTTAATAGCAATGTTACAATTTAGTGCTTAGTTATCTGAAAAAATAACCGGGCTCATTGTACCCAGGGTAGGGCTATTAGTGAATAAACCCTAAAGGTAGCTGGTTAAACAGTGATCGGCACGGTGTGAATCATGTAGGAGCAAAATCAGCTCACAGCGGTGTATGAAAAAGATTGGTGATTTCGACACACCATGTAGGACAATGTCAACAGCGCAAAATGATTTTAAGTGCGGCATCGTTCAGTGGTTTTGGGCTAATGCACACTCGCGACCAGCCACTGTAACTTGTAATTATCGCAACGTGATCAATGGTCAGTTGGCTCGTAAACCTTATCGAACAGACTCAAAAGAATCAACCTGTTCATCTCGTCAATGTACACATCATAGTGGAAACTTCTTAATAGGCGGTGCAATGGGTCGTACGGGAGGGCTTACAACAACAGCGGTTTCCGGCAAACTCCCTGAGAAAAGGCTAAACCTAAGCAAATAGTGGCTAAAAATGTCCATTTCCAACTGAATAAGAAAACAGAGAGCGAAAATATAGATATGTGTTTCTCTATCAACGTTTGATCCGACAAAGGCGGAGTAATGTTATTAATTATCACGCGTTACAGATAAATAACGTCTTATTTCGGTGCGATACACTCTCCAAACATATGATTTGCAAACTGGGGGTTAGGAGATTCTTGAATTCCCACGCCGATTTCGTCTCTGGCAAACTACTCCATTACACCGCTCGAAATTCGAAGCGTAGAGGGCCAGTCGTGCAAGTTTGTGCATGTGAGCGCGTGTACTGCTTAGTACGCGCATGTGGTTAAGAAGTAACAGCGAAGACTTGCCAGGTTAAAGGTGAATCGGAATAAGTTGTTACTCCATAAACTCGGAATTCGACCGATGTGCTGTCTTTTAAAATGAGCACCGATGTTATCTTAGCCATTTGGGTGCAGTCTGAAGCCACTCCATTGGTGCAGTAGAAATGACCCAGTTGGATATGCATTCCGAGACAATGCACACGGAGTAGTACGGTGGTGGTGACACCAGCGTCCAACTGGAACTCAGCGGTTCAGTCACCTTGTAATCCTTATGTCACTCCGAGTGGCCGCTATACTCATGTGGATGCTTGATTAACTGTGGTAGCTCTTGAGTAACTATGACCGGCCGACGAAAAAGACAGGATCCTCCGTACTAATTAGCTAATCTTAAAAAACATGGTGCACAAATACCACTGGCTTGTTTAATTCATACAGCCCCACTGACTTTGAATGTTCCTTATTTACTTTGCCTTTTTAACTGTTAAAATACTATCGGACCGTTTGTGAACAGCCTGATCCGTCAGTGAAGTTATCCAACGAAAATTGGGTAAAACAGCTAACGAATGATTAACAAACGGCACATCGTAAGTTCGAATGGAAGTGTTCTTCCTAACGCCAAGCTGTTTGAAGTTTACACGCATATGATGAGTCCTGCGTTGACCTGGAACGGTACATCATGAACTTAGTAGCAGTTCCTCTATCATCTGCGTGACAAACAGGAGAAATTAGTGGGGTGTTGTGCTCATCCTGAGTGATCGTCTCTGACTTCGATGACCCGAAGTCACTCAGGAGTATTTCAATAAAGGATATCGATACATCATCCTATGTTACGTCAACGTTCCAAGTGATCTATATAACAATCACATACACCTGCACCTAAATGCTCAGCTCAGCGTTCTATCCGAGAAGGAACCATATATTCGTCTATTTCATCTATTGTCCCACTCAAAAGTTATTCAAGTCAAGAATGCACGTTTATGCACCCCTGATGGTTGAATTTTCGTGCATTAAAAAACCGAGTGATTCGGAGCGATATTCTAGTGTTCCTAGTGATGCTGGCCTTCTCTACATCGTTTGCCAACGTAACACACCACCAGTCCCGGTCGATTCTCAGACCGCTAGTTTCAGTGTTTAAGGCAGACTAAGAACGTGCTTTAGGAACATATGAGAGGTGTCCAGTGAGGTGAACCCTACCAAAGCAATATCCCGGTGAAAAATTATACGCGTTCTAATCAGGCTAATCGGAGCTTCAGAAATCCATACGATATGCAACGCGGGCTTGCTGAACAATCTCTTTGTGGTGCCAACTGGGTGGTTCGGGATCCACTGTTCCTCACAATGGTTCGGGGGCAGTATTCCAGAAAGTGGTGGGTTTTCACCTGATAAGCGTTCTCCCTATAAGAAGCCACGCATGCCTGCCCAGCAACACTGTGACGTGGCGCATGTGACTCGCCACTAAATAAGGTCACTGCCTCTTGCTTCACTGTGGTGGAGCATTGTATGCCAGCAATCCGATGCTGAAAGAGTGGGAAGAATTGGGCTCTTGTTTAGAAAGCGTCCAAACGAAAGTGGTAAGAACTGAGTGATCAGTCACCGGCTCCAAATGGGCGCCATTCCCTGAATTCGCTCCGCAGCCTTGCGGGTAGGTCATTCAGTCAAAGGCTCCGGGTGGTGTCCCCTAAGACAACTCGTTACCTCGGCTTGGGCAACCGAGTAGTATCTCGCCCGCTGACAAAACCATGGATACCTCAACTACTACCACTATGTCTTTCACTCCCGCTCCTGCGATTCACATTACTTATGCACATCTATCATACGATAATTCTAAATCATAGGGGTGGAACTTCCGTCATTCATTTTGCACCCCATGCTTATTCGGTCACACATATTTAAGTATATAGTTGCATACCGGTTGTTGTTAATGGTACTGAGGAGGCCGTGGACATAGGGGTGGAACTTCCGTCCTTCATTTTGCACCCCATGCTTATTCGGTCACACACATATTTAAGTATGTAGTTGCATACCGGTTATTGTTAATGGTACTGAGAAGACAATATGAAATGCATGCATCTACCAATTTTCGTCTTCTTACCGTGCTTCTCAAAAAATCCTAGATTAGTAAATAATTTCTTCAAATAGATATACAGCTATTACCGCGCAAGCGAGCAATCGACCTAGATTATGCCGATGATTTCGTCTTAATGGTGAGGACTCACAGAGCAAGCAAACGATCCTAGACCGCTTGGCGATTGAGGTATCTGGGTACGGAATGTGTTTTGCCCCGTCAAAGTGTAAACTGCTGTTTCTGGACTGGCACTCAACTGTTCCCGTGCTCAATATTGTAGGTACACAGCTTGAACAACTGGATAGCTTTGTCTACCCTGGTAGCGGTGTCTGCTGGTGGTACCATTAGAAGGGAAATTTCTCATCACATCCCAAAAGTGAGGTCGGCGTTTGTCAACCAGCAGCATTTGTGGCGTCGCCGGGATATTTCCCTATTGGTAAAGGGTCGTGTTTACATTGTTAACGTTCGGGCAGTGTTGCTATATGAAAGCAAGTCATGGTCAATTCGCGAAGGCGATATGCGCCGACTGTCTGCTTTCGACAACGGGTGCTAATGGATTGCTCAAGTGTGGTGGCAACAACATTTGCAACAGTGAAGTCAGACGTCGTGTCTTAGGGAATGCGAGTATTCCCTTCAGCCTGCTGGGTTTTGCTGCGCCAGCTAAGATGGCTCGGTCATGTCCTGCGTATGTCAGCTGAGTGTTAACCCTATCGCGCTCTGTTTGCTCGTGCAGGACTCAAATGCAAGAGACCATGTGATGGTCCACCATTTACCTGGCGACAGCAAATGAAATCGTTGACTGCAAATCTTGCTACCATTGGATACACACGTCCGCCAGGTTAGGGACCAAAGGACGAGGAGTGAAGATGGCCGGAAACAATTCAGGATATGGCTTGTAATCGAAACTAGTGAAGGATCTGTGTATACAACCGCTCAATTTGAATACTTAATGCTTATGAGTAAAAACGACAAAAAAATTAAAAAATACGTGTAAAAATACCAAAAAATGCCCTTGTTTTTTATATTGCGGCACAATACCTGATGTGTCGCTCATCTACAGTTAACATGTCATAAGGATGATACAGTGTTCAGCCTGTCTTCTTTTAGTGATATCCATGATTGACTCTGTCTATTTGATAGACTGCTAACTATACTACTACTATTACCATCACCACTACTACTGATTCGAGGCTGAAGTGGAGGAAGCTGAAGAGCACACGGAAACTTGAACAAAAGCTTGATCCACACGATGCCCTACGCTTTGCACAGAAATCGCGAGATGCTAACAACACATAATCATCATCATCAACAACAGCAGTACATCAGCCATTTGAACTGATGCTTCGCTGCCATACAACCATGAGGACCTATGAAATAAATAATAATAAGAGGGAGAGAAGAAGACTTACCTGAAAACCTTAATGCCCTAAGCAAACATTCAGGGTCTAGGCGCCTACACCTTGTGTAGACAACATACCGTCACAAACAGCTGGCTATCATGCAAAGATAAGACGGCATCGGTGAGACAGCTTCCTTGCGGTTTTCACTGCGACGCATCATAATCAGCCATTACTCCGTAGATAATTTAGCACCAAACACACTTTAAACAAACAATCCGAGTACGAGACGGCAGCAGACGTGCCACGGGTGTCGGTTGCTAGTCATGTCCTGTAAAGTCTCGAGCCAAGTACAAGCCGAGTCAAGTGGACTCCAGCCCGGAAGGCGAGTAATAGATCTGAGCTTCTGTCCACTGCGATTGAAGTACATTGACTGGTAAGATACTCGGTCTTCCATATGTAGTTCGGTATAGCGACGCCACTAATGATTCTATAATCTTCTGTTTCCTTTCATACCACAAGTGCCAACCACAAACTGCTTCACTCGATTGTCCCCTTGTCCTCAGTTTAATATTTACTTTATATTTACCTCTGCTCCAAATTCCTAAGCGTGTAGGAACACACTGTCATCTCTACCCCTGTTTTGCTCTTATTCAGACAGGGGCAAACACATCACCGTCCAGCGCACTGAATGACTCCCCTCCCATAATTTTGTGCGTTCCCGGTGCACAAACTCGCGACCGAGAGTCCATAGCAAGAACCTCTCTTAATAGCGAGCCAACAGTGGAGAGAGATCCAGCAAGTCCAACAGGCGTAGGAAGCACCAAGTCCGACGAATCTTCTGACGAACATGGTCACAGACCACCCACCACCTCAGAGTCGCCACCCTCAGTCACTGCTCTTCACATTCGAATTGACTCAGAGACCGGCGAAGTTGAAGAGAAGAGTTAGATGTTTTTGCTAGAACCTTACCTGCACCAAAAACTGTCCACTTCTCTGTGCAGTCTATCCGTATTTTTTCGGAGTGCGACCGTATGCTTTCTGTATCACGCGTTCTTGTTCTATCTGATAGCGTTTATTTTATTTACCGGTTTTTCCAACATCTTACTCCTTTTGTCCCCTGAATCAATGCATGATCGTTTACTTGTTGCCGCAATCCGCTGGCTACCTACTCGAGTTGTGCATGCATTTATTTGGTTATACTTTTACTGCTCGATAGTGTTCCCAATGTGCGCCTGCTAGTGTCTATGGCAAATGAAATTTCGGGGATCTCATTCTTGTGCTGACGTGATTTATTGACGCATGCACGATTTTCTACGCACAATCTTTTGTTTTAATCAAATGCTATTTGTAGAGGCTGGTTTAGATCTGCAGGTCAGTGCTCCGTCCTCCTTATCTACGCCGAATTTGGGGACCATGAGCTTGGCGCTCCTTTTTCTCAAAGCCCCCTTTATCTCTCCGTATCATCTCCTAAATACTGAAAGCTTATGACAACCACCACTTATCTTCTGGTCCTTATCAGCCGCATCAGATTATCTTCTCTGTCCCTCATTTACTTCTACGCTATGCGTAGGCCTTCCATCTACCTGACTTCATCTGTTTGCTGCCCTTTTTTATCACTGAGCTGCTTTCCTGACCGATTCAATAACCTTCTGTTATCTGTCTACCACAGTGTTCTTTGCGGCGCTGGTATCCACGTACCCCTGTCAATTCGCTTCATCGCATGAAACTGCCATCTCCTGACGCTTCCCCTGCGACCGTACAAATGTCCACCAGACTTTCGCTTTGGGATTCGCATCAGGACAGCCCTCTCGTTCCTTTTTGAATCATTCTTGCGTTCGAAACGAATGTTATTGACTCCGATAATCGTAGAGGATCCGAGCAATATATCTCCACCTTTGGGTGGATCCAGCTTCTCAATAGGCTTAATCCGAGCACTGCACTCTTCACCACAAGACTGCAATCTGCTGCTATATCAGTCCGCGACCTACCACAGGCGCTCCCCGTTAGCGGACATGCACCCGACCTCGTCGGTTAGTTCACCCTTGTCACTATTAATTGCTGTCATTGCACGTCATTGTAGCTCCGACAAACCTACTATATACAGATTGGTAAGATATCTATGGCTCCACTAAAACTCAACTGCCTATGAGGTGTGATGAGCTGCAATTCAGCCATGGTTACCGTATCGGGCAGCGCGTGTCGACGCCGGTACGGCTTTCTTAGTAGATAACGCAATTCCCCTTAAGGTATGCATGTTTCTCCGTAGATTTCTCAAGATAATTATTGTCGCTGTCCACATGGCGAATGATCTAAGGAGGATCCTGGGCTCATCCTATCAGCTGAAGTTTCTGTCGCCTTTCTTGTACATGCTAAGCCCATTAGAACACATTTTCATAGGTGAAAGCGACAGCGAGACGCCTGCTGACCACACGATAAGTGCGGTCATTCAAGGGAGTGTTTGTCCGGTACCCCAGTAGGACTGCACGAATTGCGTCCTCAATAGATGCTAAGACTGACAAACGCAGTAGCTGGACAGCCCTTCATTTCTTGTCAATATAACATTTTCCTTTTGGAGTAGACATTTTTCAAACCAAGCTGCCGAAGCTAGCATGAAAGAATAGGGTAGATCGTGTGCGGAGATGTCGATTACGTAGCCTTGTTAGATTGTCATGGTCTTCGCACTGCTGACGCGGTCTAGTTCGTAGTGGCACTTCTTGGGCGTTATCTCTAGCCTCCTGAGAGCGTTGAAAACTGGATAAAAATAGGTGGATCCCGACCTCGTTCAGCCGTTGCTGCAGCTGCACCAGAGTGTCTTCGGGATGCCGTTCAGCGGTTTCTGCAACGCACTGTAGGATATCGGGTTTCAGCTTCTTCGTTGTTTCGCCGAGTATTCAGATAGTACTTCCTGTAGGCGATGATGATGTTACTTTTCTTGCGCTCGTTGAAATTCGCTACTTCAGCAGCTTCGTGTGTGGTTTTACGGTCGATGCACACAAGCTTAGTGAACATCTCTTTTTGTGACAAGGACTATCTCTTGTACCGCTTTGGCATCGAAGATGCGGCCTCTGGTCACTCTTTGCTTATTTTGGTCATTTCGTGCAGCAAAAGTATAATAAAGCTCTGGTGTGTTTGGTGAACTCATGATAGCCTGCGCTGATCCAATAACCTAGCAGCTGAATAAGTTCGCTCACACACCAACATTAGATACGCGGAAGCGCATAGGGCGACAACGGACTACTGGATCGCCGGTTCTGATCGAGACAACTGGCGCCCATGATCAAGAGGAGGGGTTACACAGTCGCCCACTGCAGTTACGTTGCATTCGCATAAACGCAATGTAGCCAGCATATCGTACAGTCCCCTTACTCCCCTGACCTTGATAACAAGCCATAGCTGTAAACCAACGAAGCTATACTGGTTTCGGGGGATTCATAATAGCCAACTGTGTTCTACTGCTTGCATTGCAAAGGTTCGCCCACACACCCACAGGAAATACGCAGAAGTTCATAGAGCGACGCGGGACAACTGGGTCGCCGGCTTTGCTCGAAGTAAACAACGCCAATGATCAGGAAGAAAGCATGCACAGTCGCCCACTGCTTACATAGTCCCGCTGCATTCGCGCGAGCACAATGTGGTCCGAACATCGTCCAGTCTTTTTAATCCCCTTTCTTTGATAACCACCAATAAAGCTATGCTGTGTTTGGTGATGATAACCTGCACTGATCCAATAATCGAGAAGCTGAATAGGTTGGCTCACACAAAATACGCGAAGGCTCATAATGTGACGGGAGATTACAGGGTCGCCGCCTATCTAATTCATCAGTTACGATTCAAGTGATCGAATTGCCCAAGGTTTACTTTAGTGGTAATCGCGGTCCACATTGAGATTGCGCATCGCAATCTACACACAAAACGCGTGCTTCACAATAACCCGTTAAAGCTGGGTAACTGTTTGAGACATAATAGACTACACGAATCGGGAGTCTGATTTTCCAATAGTCACATAGCTACACAGGTGCATATGTAAAGTCAGGGACACATAAACTACACGAAGATCGATGGGGAGAGGGAGTTGCTCAGTCGTGGCCTTTGATTGAGGTTCACGTTCGAAAGGATTTTCCTAGTGGCTCCTGCTGCTTGCAAAATTCGGTTGCATTAGCATGACTACAATCTAGTCTGAACATCGTCTACTCACCTTACTCCTCATTTCCTGCAAGTGAATTGCTAACTCTCTGCTTAAAATGCAATGTGTGCAAAGTGCTTTGCAAGCTGTCCAATTCGAAGTGAATGTGTTATTTGTGAGACTCCCAAGCGTTCTTCTTATGAAACCTTGGTATGATCTGCTATAATCCGGTGCTTATGTATTACTGGTACTTGGCGCAGTAGTATCTGCTTTTGGCCTACCACACTTATTCCTCTTCAGTCTGTTCACCCACGCAGTCTTCCTGGGGTCCTTTCTACATTCAGGATTGCTTACTGCCCAAACCGGGTTTCTTTTCCGATTCCTGCAACTTCTTCAGCTCAGTGACATGTACACGTCGTGAATCTTCTTACCGTGCGATTGTATACAGTTGGCCACATCGGTTGACCTCTTCCATTTAGGTAGGAGTTTCCTTACCCTTGAGCTCCAAGTGAAAGCGCACTGGTGGTCTCTGTATTTCACTTTCGAACCGATTGTGAACTCACCCACCCGACTTGCCATTGTTGGTTGGGGACTTCTCCGTTGTCCGCGCCTAACTTTCCTTCAGGTTACGGTTGACCGCCTTTCTGTTGTTCTATACTTTTTTGAGGTATTCGGTAACATTCTAACTGTTAGATTTACCTTTCATTAAATGGAACCGGGATTATTTTGTAGAGGTCTGTTCTGACTCTCCTTAGCCAGGGAATGCGACGGTAAAGCTTCCTCCCAGTCGACTCCCTTTGCCGTCGGCCGCTCTTTAATTGTTCTATTGCTCCGCGTCATCATCATCAATCACGTTATGCGGGTTTGAGAAACACACTTCAGCCAGTGTGCCGCAATACAGAAAAAATAGAGAACTTTGCAATACAGACTAAAAAAGCTGTAAATGTAACATACTGCTACATATCACATTTGGGATCATTGATGGAAGCTAAACGGGAGGAGAGGGACAAAGAGACTCACAGCACAAACACCATTGAAGTCGTCTTTTCGCCATCTGAGCTAGTGTATCAAACCTTATATGTTCATCCTCCTTCGGTCCCCAGCCCGGCCATCGGGAACCACCATCCGACGCCAACTTCGAAGTGAGAGACTTCGTTGCTTACTTTACTTTACTGCGGCTAGCTCCTGTTACATGATGTGCTGGCTTCATGAATGTCGCGGATTGTAGCTGCCCAAGCGCGGCGGTCGACAGTAAGCTCAAAACAGATACTGATCCAGTGATTCCTCCAGTGACGAGCACCATGCACAACCTGGAGTCCCAGAATATCGACATCCGATTTCCCTGCAGCGAGCCACGTTTTCCATTGTCCATCAAGACGACGGCACCAACCCTGGCAAGGCGAGGTCGAAACCACAACCCATCCACATGCCTCCCGGTCTTATTCCTTCGGGTTTACACTGGATATGGGGTGTATGGGTGGTGCAGCGCAAGCCTCCCACGGTCCCTCTGTAGGCGCAGGCGTCCTGTGGCTGTCCCCATGGAGGTCACAGTGTCAGGCAAATCCGGATACGAATGCCGCTAAATCATCATCAGTGAAGTCAGTGTCTGGTCTGTGGAGGACATCACCGAACCACTGAAGTCTGCGGCGTTCGATGAACGCTGAGAGTTTCGGAAAACCATAACAGCGCTCACGAACTTCGTCATTGGTGATACGCTCATGCTACTGCGTTTTCAAGATATGTCTTAGACACCAACGGTCGCAGACTTCCAGCTTCCGGGTATCTACGGATCGCATCGGTCATGCTTCGCAACCACAGAATAAAATGACTCGAATGGTTTCTACGAACACTCGAATTTTCCTTCGCAGACTAATTTCTGTCCTTCGTCACAACATGTTTCTCAGTTGTTAGAAAGCTGTTCTAGCGCTGTTAATACGATTCTGGATTTCGGCTGTTGGGGAGAGTAGTGGATCCAATGTACTTGAATTCAGGAACAGACTTGATGAATTGTCCATGTAAGGAGAACGACTGGCTGGCTGATGATAAGAAGTACTTCGTTTAGCTGGTGTTACTTTCAAGGCTGACCATAGAGGCCCATTGGTCGACCCGTTTTAGCTGTAACATAGGATCTTCTGCAACGATTGCGATATCGTCAGCCAATTTTAGGCCTGACAGCCAGAAATCATGGCTAACCTATACACCACGATAGCCCTCAAGAGCATGATGCATAACCCAGTCAACTGCGAAGTTGAATAGCACTGGAGAAAGTGGGCAACCCTGCCGGACTCTAGTATTGGTGTCTTATTTCTTTGTTTCTTCTCCATGGGCCCCAATAAGGTTCTCAAGGTAACGAGTTTAACCGGCAGGCCATCGGCAAGTAGAATTCTTCAGTGCGCTTCACGGTCAACTGAGTCAAAAGCTGAAGCTGCTCTGATTGATTGGCTCCCAATCAGTAGCCAGATGTGTACGACATGACTGGCCGGCTCGTTCAAGGCTTCGAAGTCGCGCGGGGCTAATGGGTCTCTCTATGTCATCGCTGCCTACGCCCCCACAAACTGTAGCGGTAACTCAGTAAACGACTTTTGTCGTCAACTCACCGAGCTCCTTCGCCAAAGAATTATAGGAGTGCTTCTTCGGTTCGAATTCCGGAATTAATGTCCCGTCGTCCTCGGATGCCAAAAGGAAGTGAAGGCATGTATTCCCATTGTTGTATTTCAGTGCTTACAAATTATGCACTGAGAAACAGAGGAAAGCCTGCGAAGGTACGTTGCTGATGTTGGTGCATGTTAGTTGTCATTTATTCAATGTTGGTATCGCTTGTGTATTGCCTAGACTTTTGAAAGATGGTCAATACAGCTGGTGAAAATGTCAGCTGACTAAAGGTAATGTCCTAGCAAAGCTTATATAGCAAAATGTGAAAAGGTGTCCTACAGAATCACGGACACTGTCGTGCTAACTGGGGATCTGAACGCTCAAGTTGGGAAATTGTCCACTGACGAGCTACATCTGGCGGCCAACATGGTGTAGGCTCTCGTAATGATGACGGTGAGCG